CATATCTTTCCTTTTGAAGTCTCCACACACGGGCTTTACCATCATTTTCAAACAGAGTAAAGCGAGATTCATCACTCCATATCACCGTTTTCCAATCATCTGCAGTCCATTCTCGACGTTCTCGAGCCCACTGTATTCGATCTTTCTTGTTTTTCCTTGAAATAAGTGGTTTTCGAGCGGCAACTCGGCTATTATACCCCGATTCATACAAAGCTCGTTTTATAGTCGATTCTTCGCTAACAGCAGTTCCGGTTGATTGGACAAAGTTTGCATGAACTTGCTTTGTAGTCTGCCGGCGATTGGTTCGAACAGCAATTTCAAGATGTCGCTTATCCCCGTTAGTCAGTATTGGTGGTCTCCCAGTGCGTGTGGCAGGGGTCACTGTACCAATTTCACAATACCTTGATATTGTATCATGTATTGTTGACTTTGGATGGCCAGTTTTATCCTCAATCTCTCGTTCTGAGTGACCAAATAGCCATCCTCCAATAATAAGGCCACGTTCAACTCAGTAAGCTCTTTTCGTTCAGTCATATTCTACTAAAAAGTTTAAGTGTATAGGCTGAATAATGTTTGCGACTTGAATGGAGATTACATTGCAGTTGTCACATGCACATAATTGTGATTTCGGAGTACCATCAACAATGGTCCGAATAATTCAACGTGTAGAAAAATAAAATAAACTTAGCTTTTAGTTTCTCAACAACAAAGTAAGATATTTGGCCAAACTTACCTGCATTTAATAGCAGTTCTTTTGCGCTTTCGAATGAATGTAAGTTTGTGTAATTTTATTATGTGGATCAATATGTTAAATAACTTTAGATTTTTAGATCGTATAACTTAGTTTTATCATTTTCGGTGACACAAATGTTAGTTATATATAAATTATATTGCATTGCTAGCTAACACATTGTAATTTTTTGTAAATATGTTGTATACTAGATGCGCTAAGTACAGTACTAATCGTGCGGTAATTGCATTACTCATTGTGTCAATATTTGCATTTAATTGCAAATTTATGGGGTGGTCGGTGACTACTGAATAATACCCTAAATTCAAAATACGATTTCTCAACAACAAAACAAGATATTTAGCCAAACTTACCTGCATTTAATAGCGGTTCTTTTGTGCTTTCGAATGAATGTAAATGTATGTAAAATTATATGCGGATTGATTTTTAACGATTTTTTAAATATTTGATTCGCATACCCTAATTTTAACGTTTTTCGTTGAATAGAAGTCGACTCTAGGTAAATTCGTAATTTTACTATCTAACATATTGCAATATTTTGTGCATATAATACCTATAAGGTGCGCTAAATTCAGTATTAATTTCATAGTAATTGCATTGCTTGTTATGCCAGTATTCTCATTCAATCACAAATGTAGGGGGTGGTCGGTGACTTTTGAGACGGGAGTGTACAAAGCATGTTGGGTGAGTTTATTTCGCATTGCAATAATAATAATAGTAATAATGTAATGATCTTCGCTTACCAATATGACTGAGCTCGTTCGGCGATTAATATGTTTCGGTGCAGCAGTAAACCATCAAGATGTCACTTCAACATTATTATACAGAATATCAAATCATTTCACCGTTAAAAACTGGGTTTAACGGAAACTGTTCGGCGCAGCAACTTGACTTGGTGTAACACTACTCACTATGCGATATTATTATGGGCGGGCTGACTTTATATTGATATTATGATAAGACAATTCGATGACAAGACGTGGGATGCCGTTTATCATAATGATGTAAACTTGTCAGATTTCAGCTTTTTTGATCTAGTTCACGGATTCAAAGGGTTAATATAAATAGTATTGTGGTTGACCGATAATTGCACATCGATCATTATTATTGTACAATGTGCAAATTAAGAATATGATATTGTAGTTAGGCTGAAATATTCGATTGTAGATGTACTGGTATCATGCAAACCAGGGCTCTAATGCAACCCGGAGCATCTCACCTTCGTCGTTTTGATCTCACCTTTATTCTGTAAGGTTCAGCGTTAGTTTTAATCATGGGAAGAAAAAGTGACGTTATACTACACTTGTATCACCAGCGACAAATATCATGTTAACTCAGCCTCGCGTTCTATAATTATGGTACAAAAGTGGGCACTATATTGTTATCGATATTATCACTGGATGGTCTGGGGTTTGGGAGAGTGATTAATCTTTCGCGTAGGGGTGTTCTTCCGACCGGGGTTATTACCAGATTAGCCTCGTGCTACCGCCCTTAATACGATAGATGTTTGACTTAGTGTAACACTACTTTGTCTAGTTAGCATACACTTTTTTAGTGCGAAATTACCCAATGTCGGAAACAGACACTGATCGAACACGTCGCCTAATAATAGCCTCTTTCTGGACAGTGATATTAATCGGTCTGCCACTATGGTGGAAAACGACTGACGTATACAGGGCACAATTGCCATTCACTGAAATAGAGCAATGGTCTCGGTGGGAGGTGAATAAGTAAAGGTGTGGGAGGCAATCGGGTTGTAATGTAGCGCACCTCATTGAGAATATATAACAAAACCAAGTTCGTTTGATCTACCTTTAGGCTTCGAATCTTGTATTTCCACTAGATTTTACTTTCTATTTCGCCGAAGAGGATGAGACACCAATAGAACTTGAGCAATTGTCGGAAAATATCGAACGCGCACTTAACGAGCAGTTCTCTCGAGATGCAGAAGCGGATGGGTTGGTTACACAGTTGTCTGTTACTGTCGATAGCGTAAAGTGGAAACAATGGGATAAAATCGTTAGGAAAGAGAATGAGATTGATGTTGATTCATTCGGGAATTCGATGGAAGAGTTCAATGGAAGATACGAATTTTATATTGCCCCGGGAGATGGTGATATGCGAGTTAATTTGGGAAACAGTAGATGCGCATTTGTACAGATTAATCGTAAAGATTGGAACGAACGTATGTTTTGAGATTTTTGTATGACACCCGTTGCTTTGGAACCAGAAGTCAAAGTTTTCCCCTCTACGATCTACTTATTTACCATTCTCCTTTCTCTCGTTTTCACGTCTGCTTCGACAATACGATACCAGTTGCAATAACCAAGATTTTACCGTCTCTCCTCTTCTCCTTCTTCCATTCCGAGTATTTACTGCTCTCTGCTCTCTTCAAACCTCCGTCGCCCGAAGAAAAGCCTAACATTGATAACATGCGCGCGATGAAGTACTCTCCACGTTATCAAATAACATTCAGTCTAATGAATGCATGCCCATCAACATTGCTTGTCGATTGGAACATTGAAGAAGCCGTGAATATGTATTTAAAGCCGTTCTTGGATGAATTGAAAATTCTCTCAGAGGTTACGGTTGATTCGCAAGTGCAGTATTATGCTCAGCTGACTGTTACTCCAGAGAAAAACGAGAATGAGGGTTATTATTATTTGAGACCGGAAATGTTACCACATTTTGTTAATTCTGCAGAATGGAATTTAGGTGAGCCATAGTGTGTTTATGTCTAGGAATAATGGAATGAGAACTTGTTGCTCCGGTAGATGACTTATGAATTACTGAAACTACGTGAATGAGTTTAATTTAATCATATCTGCTTCCGATGCTGCTTATCGAAATATAATAGCATCTGCCGTGTCTTCATATCCAACTCTCAACCTGATTTTGTATACACCAGAAGCAAATCAAAGCCCTTTACATATTCACAATTCCAAAGGTGGCTATAACCGATTGTTCGTTACCGTATCATAAGATTAAGAAGACCACATGATAACTCACTTTGAAACGATTCCTAGGTCATCCTATCGATAATAATGCATTTCTTATACCTCGATGGGGAGGCATTGTTATAAGTAACCCTCAAACAACCAACAATTCATACAAACTTACGGTTGAAGAATTAAAACCAATAATAGAAATATTTATATCACAATTGCGTGGATTACTAGGTGTGAGGAAATTTACCTCAGACGACAAGGTGAATCTCACTCCACGATACTCTCTTGTCTCCTTTGCACATATTAAGACTGTGTTCTTTTTCGTAGGAATTATCTGCAAAAGTCAGATATGCACCTCCCCCAAGTACAGCCATAACAGCATGGGAGTTGGATAGTTTAATCCGTCATCGTACGGCCGAGAACATCGTTGCTGCAATATCTACTCTGAAATCTCTGTCTCAGCTAGTGAGCGAGATTCCTAATATGGTGGTACTAGACCACATCCAGACTGAGGTACGCACAAACGGTTTATTGTAATATTCAAGTGTCAATTAACAAGACGATTAATTGAGAAATTCATCCAATTGTATACGTAGGTGCTGCAAGCACTAGATAGCCTAAAAGAGGTAAACATCCGTTTCAATAGCGTCGACATAATGAAAGGATGATGCATCAGTAAGGGATGCGATTACTTATACTTACTCACTCCCCTTTTATTCATAGTCCTGCGAGAACCTCCGCACAATGAGCTATGTTGCCGCGTTGAACCACGCCAAGCAGGCACTTGAGAGATCAGAATCTGCATTCTTTGACCCGACAATGGTATCCATGCTCTATTTCCCTGACGAACACAAGTACGCGATATACATGCCATTGTTTGTACCTGTGTCAGTGCCGCTATTGATTGCTTTGCTACGAGAAGCGAAAAAGAAAAAGTAAATGAAGATTTGCGGGTAGATGGTAGATAGTCAAACGTGCAAACATCGGGTTCCATCAACAACGACAAAATTAAATTATAAAATTTTCTTAAATATGTGCTGATAACTTTTAATTTAATTCCTTATGCAAAATAATCTTAATAATGGGTTCCCTAATTTTGGTATAAATAAATCTGTAAATTCATTCACCCGCGGCAACATTCTTGCTCAGCTGACCTGCGACCCCTGAAAATCACTGTGGGTATTACCCCGGTTTACCGTCATACGTCACGTATTTAGTTTTAGTATCTATCACGTATTAGTTGCGTGACTTGCCACCTTACTATGCATATAACGATACGCGTTACGAGCAGTGTTTTGTAATCACACGCGCGTGCTCTATGTGCACATACGCGCGAAATAAGCTACGCGCAGCATACGTAGGAGGAAAACGGAAAGAGTTACCAACTTCCTGATGGAGGGGTTCTCATGGAACTGTGACTACGCCTGTGTCAACGTCATCTTGTGAATCTTCACCACCCGAGGCCATATGAGTTATCGCTATCATCCGACCAAGACAGCAAGATGACATTGCAAACTCAGTCGTATATATATAGGACAAGATCGGTGGCGCGTGAACGCCAGAGGTCTATGGTGAGCGGCTTATTTGCATGATTACCAGTAATTTGATGTGACAATTTCTACTTTCTGGTTTGACTACAAGGGTGTATTCGCTTTTTTTTTACCATAAAAGATCTCTTCAAAGTGTTTGTCACAAACGGTTAAATGCTCACAAGGAGCTTCTCTAATTAATTCTGCGGTGCTTAAAAAGCATGAACAGCCGTCAGACAAAGCGAACTCTGAAAACCAACATGTCAAAAAATCAGAACTCTGTCAAGATAGTGACGATTCATCTGATGAAGAGGAAGTCGAAGAGGAGAAAGAAAACGAAAATGATGGCTCTTTTCTATTGCATCAGGGTCAACCTGAATATCCCGGTGCTGACAAACAATACCTAACCTGTGGACTATATTCGATAGATCTGAAAATAGATGAATTGAGATCCTCTGGACGATTCGCAAGAAAGCGTAAACGTAAACTTGGCAAGGATGGCAACAAAAAGCCATTAATGCCATTGCCCATTTATTTTGGCGAATATTTGACCAATAAAGAGCAAGATTTTGATATGCCGTGGGATATCGTTGCCGCTTATCATAGTGGGTTGATACATAGAGAGAAGAGACCATCGCCATATATTAAGATTAGAACAAGTAAGAATACTTATGCATCTAGCGCTTATGAGACTAATCGTCGAGTATTGTCTTGTAATGTAATTTTTGTTTCGTTTAGATATATTTAAAGAACGTAAAAGAAAGAAAGACAGCAAGCCGCCAATTTGTCAGTGTAAACCACCTACTGATGGCCATATGGGCTGCGGAAAAGATTGTTTAAATAGGTTGGTACTCTGTTTCACGTCGGGAAACATTGGTTGTGAAACTTTTATTGATTTAGTTGTCTTGCTTGTAGAATAATGTATTATGAATGCTCTCCCAAGCATTGCCCGTGTGATGAATTATGTTCTAATCAACGGTTTCAGAAGGGCCAGATTGTCAAAGGATTAAAAGTATTCTGGGTTAGTTTGACAAATTACTCGGTGATCCGTTTTGATAACTATTTCTTGTATGAGCGTCTAATTGTTACATGCTTATATGTCTATCGCCGCCTTGTCCGTTGACTATTATTACCACTTTCGTCAAGACTGGTTATCGCGGATTCGGATTGATGGCAATAGAGCCTATTCGGAAAGGTCAATTTGTAATTGAATATAGAGGCGAAGTATTGTCAAGAGAATCATGCTTTGCTCGGATGAAATCTCGGCCGAATAGGAAAAACATGTACTTTCTTGGATATAACAACGGTGAGGTTCTGGATGCATCTGAGAAAGGAACGGATGCCAGATATATAAACCATAGTTGTGCTCCCAATTGTCATATCGAGAAGTGGTAAGCGAATGGTAACCATATTTCCACTCTTGAAGTGAGGCGGTTATGATTGTGATGAAATAATATATTAATCTGTTTTTATAATTTGTTCTTTCTCTGTAAGGCGGGCACCATGTGGAGAACAGTATGTAGGCGTCTTTGCATCCCAAGACATACCACCTGGCTCTGAATTATCATATGACTACCAGTTTAAAGCATGTGATGGTGCAGAATGTCAACTATGCCTCTGTGGAGAAGTGAGCTGTCGTGGCAAGATTGGCACCTCCAAGTCTAAAATGAACAGTGATGGCGGAAAATAATGAGAATTTTAAAATTTTATTTCTCAGTTGAGGTACATTTGTTTTATATAAAATTATAAAAATAAAAGTTAATATCAATTATTAATCCCCCTCTTTCAATAACATCCTCTAAAAATAAATTCGTTAGAATAGATTTATTGATATTATCCCATACTGATCGAATGATCAATCAAAAGCTCACTAATCCAATTTTTCTACCCTTGTTTTATAGAGTTTAGATCAGGTAAATAAGAAGTTAATAAGAATTTTTGGACATGTTTCTTTAAGTAGCTTCAACTTGGCTGTGTGCTTTGGATCTTTATTCTGTTGGACTTTTCTATCAGGGTTGATGCCTTTGAGAAGATTTTCTGTTAAAATTTCCGATGAAATCCCCATTCATGTTTCAATAAAACAATTAAATCTTTTAACGGAAACTGATACTGAACATACCAGATACAGTGTGTTGATTATAATTACAAAAATGTCCGTTATCTATTGTTACGTTCGGTCATCTGGGAGAGCGTTTGTGTTCAAACCGACCTCAAAATTTAGCTCTAAACGTGGTCTTGCTTACACGCTCGCGTCAATTAAAGCGTAGCTAAAATTTGCGGCTCTTTATACCTCTATTGCTAAGGTATAAACTCTCACTTGAATGTTGTGCTGAACTATCTAATTAAATAATAAGCGGCAATAGACACTTCTGTACAGCAACAACGGTGCACAAGAATAGAACTATTATTAGAACAACCACTAACAATAATCCTTCGAAGAGTGTATTAATTATAAAGAGGGAATAAAATATTCGATGCGTCTAATTTATTTAATTGGAAGAGGAGTAAATCTTTGAATAAAACTCAAACTCGTAAAATGTAAATAAGCCGCGAAGTACAAGTTTATTCAAAGAGCGTTTGACGATGTTAATATTGTAAATTGACTTCATCCATAACCAATTGATGTCTTCATACCTGCAGCTGAATCTCCAGTAGGTAAGAGCGCACTAGAAGATTACTCTCCTCGAGACATTATAAACGTTTGACGTCATTATGATAAACGGCGTTCCACATGCTATCGCCAGAATCATCCTCGTTCACCTTGTAGAAAGGTTGTAAATATTCTATAAAGTGTCAATGTATGTGGACGCTTATCAGGATCAGCATCACAACAACGCTCAGCAAGTTTCTTGTATTCTTCTGGTGCCGAGTCAGGCATCGATGGTCGTAGTCCGCCCATAGTAAATCGCTATCGAACTGCCTATCTCTAAAAGGTGGCTCACCAGTGGCTATCAAATACATAATAATGCCAAAAGAGTATATGTCTGATTTCTGAGTAAATTTGTGAGTATGGAAGACTTCCGGTGCAACAAAAGGGAAAGCGCCTCGAATGGTTGACTTTGATTCACATGAATTAACTGACCAAGATCACGGATAAATAAATCTACATCACGCATATTGTCGTGCATAACTATGTTTCCGCCATGAAGATCACAATGCACTACTCCTGCATGATGAATATTATACAGATATAATGCAATATCCCTCAAACACAGTAATTTCATTCTCCACGTCAAATTGTTTTGATCCAAACTAGACAAAAGAATACCATCGCTAGCATATTGCATAACAATCATGTACTCTTTTGTTTCTGGGTCTTGTGTCACTCCATAAATTCCAAGGAAAGTATAACTATTATAACTATTACTATTGTTTGCACACTTGGCATGATTTCTGAACTATTAGATAAAAATAATTACAGAGTCAGATTCAATATCACTAATACTCCCTTTAATTAATACTACCAATTATTGCTTACCTCGGAAATAAATAATTCTGGCATTCCATCAAAATTCTTAAACCGTTTGAGTACAACGTTGGTGTACCCTTCATATTTAGCAGTCTAGACTGTTCCATAACCACCAGATCCAATTTCCTTAATTTGATTAAAGTCAATATACTGCATATATTTGACATGTTCATTGATTTGTATAAATTTGCCCACTATTGCGTGTATGTCAGGGTAGAACACTAAATAGTATTCTCGAGTAGATATAGATGGCTCTTGAGATATCCCAATTATCAGGTGTTAATATCTCTGGGTATTCCTTAGTCAGCTGTTTGAGTAAACAAATACAGTTGTTAACAACACTGATTTAAACACTCACAAGTTAATAATACTATTTGCATTTTACGCGTGAAATAATTTACCTGACGAAAATCAAATAACTGATCATTTTGTTTGTCAGCTATCTTTTTGAGTGTCACTCTAGTCGATTCATTTGTTGTCCATTCTGCTATATGTGTGCATCCATGGCGTAATAATGTCATCTCTTGTATGTTTGTCAATTGAGAATACTCTATCCATTGTATATCATATATATGCATCATACTTATTCTTCATATTAGTCCATGACTCCATAATAAATGAATCCAAAGACTTGCTGCCCGTAGTCCAATCTAGCGGTCTTGGTGCTTTACATTCATAACAGAATGCATTTATCATATGTTCCAACGGAAATGTGCACGCCAGACATAATCCATCATCACAATCTCCCTTTATGAGACAATACTTCTGTTCATAATATGTGAATCCGATGGTAATCCAAACATCTGTGGTAAGAATATCTGGATGCTCATCACATAACTAGTGGAAATGATACATGATAATAAGTCAATAATTATTTAAACTATTCACTAAACATGACGCATAAGTAAATATGCCTCGGCATAATATAAATCATGTGTCTCGTCTGTTATTCAAGCGGAGTCGATTCAACAAGTAATGTATCCAAGTATCCATCGAATGGAATCCATTCCAAATAGGCACGATTTGGTGAGTTTGTTTGTAATTGAGAGTTCTTAATAAACTCATCGAGTTGCTTATTGTTGCTAGTCCATCCATTGGATAATTGTTTATGTCCACAAATGCACCACACGGGACTACATCGGAGTATTCCACATGCAGTGCAGAATTTATAGAGAGAATAAGAATGGTAAAACTTCCTATCAGCAACCATGTAATAGTTGTCATCATACTCAGCGAATCCTTTTACGAGCGAGAATGTTGCGAAGACTAAGCCATGTGGAATGTCTTCTGAACTGATTAACATCATTGTTGTACTTGTGTGTTGGAAGCGAGTATATTCTAGCAAACTCACTCACAAACGATGGTGTACATATCTCACCATTTCCGAGTAGTGAGAGTATTATCGACGTTTCCTTGACTCCACCTTCATCCGGCGTTCGCTTGTAAATAGCGTAATAAACATTGTCACTTTGAGTTGGCTTTATGTCGGTGATTTCCTCGTAATGAATCCATTCAAGTCTGAAGTATTCATTTCCACTTTCCAATGAGGATTGGACCAAGTTGTCAATTGCTGGATTATTAACAAACAACATAAAAAATTTTTTCTCGGAGAGAATTCTCACTTATTATGTTACATTGCACGTGACAACTTTTTTATTGAATACCAGCGAAAATAATGGCGGCCAGTATTAACGGTTTTTTATTTAACAGTTGAGTAAATTGGCAAGAAGCAGATGTAAAGCCATTTTACATTAACAGGTTAGAACTATATCAGGCAGAAATTATATGAGTTTATAGATTATCCAAATCAAACTGAGATTATTAAAATGCAATATAAAAGCAAGACCATGCCTGACGTATTAAGCAAATAATACATTTACATATTACTATAAATAATAACAGGTAACCGATTTTTGTATTGGATTTTTATAAAAACGATTGTCACCTCACTTACAATAGGTTTCTTATAAAAACAATGTAGTTAAATCATAAACATACCGTGTTAGCGCATTACTTTCATCGTATACATTGTGTCACAAAAAAAGGAGCTCAACCCTAGCTTTTTGCTGTCACAATCAAGTTTGAATACGCGCGAATCCATTGATAATTATAACATTTGCGTAGAAGAATATGTGGGAAATCAGTACGGTTTATGGTCGAAGGATGGAATTCTATTCCTGGCGGAATCGACGAAACAAAAACGTGAGTTAATTAATACAGTAAATGTGGGGGGGGGAAAATACTCTATTGAATTTATGTCAATAAAGCATCCATCCTTACTCTGATGGCGCGTCAGTTTGAATGCCAATCATGTGACTGCTGCGGAGTAAAATAGTGTCTAAAATAGGAGCACTAAGTGTACATAGATTTTAAAAGTATAAAGACGAGTAGTTTCTACTTTCAACATCGATTGCTCAGTTCCTTCGCCTATTATACATGAAAGTATCAGGAGGAAAATTCTTGACAGCAAAACTAAGTTTACGGATACTCAAAGTTTGCAAGTGAAAGTAGCCTGGAATAGATATACCGACTGGGTCAATTGAAAAGTGGTACAAATATTATTGAGAAAGAAAGAATTGACCAATTTGAGCCCTCATATTTACGTTTCCTTCCTCAACTCGGCTACGATTATGTGAAAGTGCCGATTCAATACGCACGTGCGATAATTTTTAGCCGCGCAGATCATAATCATACATTCGGGTATTATCGTTATGGCCAAGCTCCCGCATTTGCGCTTCTCACTTGTCGCGTCTCGTCTCGTCTTAAGCTCGACCTCCAACCTATCCAACTCTTTCTTTTCCGCGACGCTAAGTTCGGTCTTGATGCTCAGCTCCTCCAATCTCTCCAGCTTTGCCTTCACGTCGTCATACTCCTTCTTGGCATCCTGGTACGCATGCTCATGTTGAATGGTTGTAAAGTTTGCTTTCGATGAGAGGACGTTCATGATCTAATATATGCTGACACAGTGGCTTAATCAATGACGTATTAGTATATTAGGAACTTTCTACAGTCAACTGCCGATAATTCGACCCCACGACAATTCTACTTTCCGGTAATTCGATCGTTTTGAGTAAGACCCGATTTTTTCATATCCTTTTATTCGATCGAACTTATAAATTTTCGATAATTTGTTAATTCGATCGCCAGTGCGTATAAATAATATTATAATTACGTCCGTTAATTCGACCACGCACAGTCAAATCATTTCCATTTAAGGGTTAATTGATTGAATTCTGCCAATTATTCAACCGGTTGCATTGTTTTTGTGATAAAAAATTTCGATTATCCGACCGACATTAATATTCCCATCATACGTTACTTTTTTCTCAAAATGCCTCGATCGAAAAAAAACACCTTATGTCATGTTGAGTGCCAAACAGAAGCAAGAGATATGTCAGCGAAAAGCTAAAAACCCTCAATTATCTAACTCGGAATTAGCCAAAGACTATCGTGTAGGAAAAACAACCGTACAGAATATCATAATATATAATAAACCTTATGCTAAACGATTAAGAAATCGAAGGCCAAAATGGCAAACGCTGGAAGAAGCCCTATCATTATGGACGTCTGATTGGATATTCGTATTCGTTAATTCGACCTTTACGTTAATTCAGCAGTTGACTGTAGACCTTTTCACGATGCCTGTATGCAGAATGTGACTAATGATAATCAATGCGCAGAAATTCGCTTTGTCTAATAATCGTCCATAGTGTATGATGGTTTTATTATAAAAACAGCACTGGTTAATTTGCTTCAGAAATCAACCCCAACGCAATAAATATCGTTGAAACAATACATCGATTAAAGTAATAAAACAAATCCGTCAACTTCCATAAATAACACTACGAAAAATGTTACTTCACAATTCATTTTTGGAGTATTAATTGGTTTCATTGTCGGCCTGTTGCTAAATGGCATAATTTGCAATGGTCAGCTTGATAATACAGGTGCCTTAATTCAAACAACAAAGTTACAGCCCATAATAACAACAAAACTGTCGGCAGCGAACAAAATTTACTCCCCAGAAAAATTTTCATTAACAAAATGGTGTTTGAAATCCAGAATGTTACGGCAAGCTGATCTGATGAATCAGATAAGTAAGTCACATGATAAAATCTTCCTCCGCAGTCAGCAAACCCATGATCGACACATCAAATTTAGCTTAGTAATAC